CTGCAGGCTATCTCCTTAAGTCATTCAAATGACTCACAACAGACACCTGCTATGGTTTTTCCTCTTCCGCTGGGATTATCCTTTTTACAATTCTGGAACGACTAACGTGCTCTTGCCTTAGCTGCAGTTACCATGGGGTCAGGTGCCAGAGAACAGGATGGCAGGTGACCACACTTATCTGCTGACCCCATGAAGACTCGGCCAGCCACATCATTAAAATAGCTTAATGTCAAGCACATGAAGAGAAACAGGTTTGCTGAGTAAACTTGTTTTTCTTTAAAGGCCAAGTGAGGGGTGGGAGGAGGCAATGAAATCTTAAAATTTCGAGGAAAAGAGTTTTTTTAGGAAATACTTCCACCCACCCCGCCATACAACTTGAACACAAGTCACAGACTACTGCAGCAGACTCCCGGGGGTTACAAAGGCCAGCACCCAAGCAGCGAAGATGGCAGGAGGCCAGCCATGTTGGGTAGTGGCCACTGCCCTGTCCCCGCTCCGTGGCTCCCAAGGTGCAGGCCCTGGGAACAGGCCGCACATGCACACCCGACCTCACCTGCTGACTGGCGTTCTGCGGGACAGGAGCCACTGCTCCAGGGACACCACACGGCAAGAGGAGGAAAACAGAATGAACCAGCCACGCAAGCCACCGGGCCTGTTTCTTGTGAAAGAGAGAGCATGCCTCACAAGAAGGGCACACATCTAAAACGATCTAAGAAGTTATTACTGTTTGAAGACAAGTGTAAGGGCCAGATGCCAAGGTGGTGAAAGCAAGCCCGACACCGCCTTCATGCACAGCTCCCCGCCGGCTGCAAGGCCTCTAGCTCCCCTGTGGGAAGCGGTGCTGATGCTGTCCTACCTATACCCGAGAGCTCAGGGTCTGGGTGGTTCCTTGGTGACACAGGCCGCTCGCTGGCACGCAGAACGCGGACAAATGCCCCTGATGTTACAGCCAGGAGCTGGCGCATCAACCACACTGCTGCGTAACTCAGGGTAGGAAGCTTTTTTCTAAAGGGCCAGATACTAATATTTCAGGCTTCTCGGCCACAGCCTCTGTGTCACAGGCACTCAACTCCACCCCCCTGTGCAAAATCAGTCTCGGCCATCCATAAACAAATGGGCAAGGCTGTGTGCCAATAAAACTTTACTTACAAAAATGGGCAGCCCCTGAGCCACAGTTTGCCAGTCCCTAGTCTGACTGGTAAGGAGTGCAGCTTTGGCTTCAAGTCTTAGATGACTTATTCCTGGAACAGGCTAGTATCTCCCCTTCATCTCTCCCCCAGTCGTAGGGTCTACGATTAAATGAAGTACAGAAAGTGGCAGATGTAGCCCCCAACACACTTAGAATTCTTGGAAGCAAATGCAATAGATGCAAGAGGCCGAACACTCCCGTTACTATTTTCTACATTAACCCGCGGGGTAGGTAAACTGCGGATCACTGAAGCTCCGGCACAGGCCCCGGCAGAGGGCGCGCGGGTTGCGCGCACCAGGAGGTGGAACACCGGACCGCCGAGCCGGACCCGGACCCGGACGCAGGACGAGCCCTTCCTCCCCGAGATGCCAGAGCCACAAGTGCGCACCTGGCGCTCCACGCGGAGTCCTCGGCCCGACCCAGGCCCCCTCCCCTCCGCCGAGCCGGGCTTCCCAGCTCCCCTCCGCGGACTCCTCGCGGGATGGCGCCGGGTGCGCCAGCAAATTCACCAGGACCGGTGAGAACGACCACAGGAGGGGCACGCGCACGGGGGAGGTGCACTTAGGTAAGGGGGCGCGCACACGGGGGAGGTGCGCACACAGGTAAGGGGGCAGCGCGCACAGGGGAGGTGCACTTAGGTAAGGGGGTGGGGGTGGCGCACAGGGTGGGGGGAGGCGCTGCTGCAGTAAGTCCCAGAAGCTCCTGGCTGTCACTCTGATTCCCTTTTGATTTTGTCTCCTTCTGGTTCTGATATATCACCAACTGAAAAATCACATAATCCAGTTTCTTAGAACTTTGTCAAAAAGAAGGGGTTCCCAGGCGAGGCTTGCGGGCCCATGATGCTGTTCTGGGGACCTGGGGGTTTGCTTTTGTCTCTCCCCTTGTTTTGCCACCAACGGAAAGTGAACTTTGCAAAAATAAATTCTATGTAGTGCCTTTCAGTGCCTATGGGAACATACACCCAGAAACAAAGCCCACGGGCTCTGGCCACTTGGTCCTGAGCAGAGTCTGCCCTCGAGAAAGGCGCAGGAGGAACATACGCTTACAGGCGGATCCTTTTAGATGCTTTTGGTTCTCAAAAAGACAAAAGTATGGATTATAGACTTAAAATGAGCTCAGTTTTTAGAAAGGAAAAGCCTTGGAGTTAAAAGAGAAAGAAAGCATTTAATGAAATTCAGACCTCATTAGTGGTATCTTACCAGGAAGTGATACGAATTCTTCTCAGAGAAGAAGAGCAGAGTTTGTATGACTCATTTCCAGATTCCTGTGGTTTATTATCCTTATTTCTAATTTGTTGGAAGACTATCTTTAGATAACAAATGTTCCAGTATTCTGACATTTTAACACCCACATAGCAACAAGAATAAACTTTGATGTTAAATCCAAGATCTGTGGCTTCTGGGTTTAATAGAGAAACAGACATTAATAAAAAGTTTCCTCTCTCCATAGTATGTTTTAGAGAAATGTGCTAAGGAACCACTTCTCTACCATGCTGAAAATTGTCAGTTTATGTGGATCTGTACTACAGACATGCTTTATGATGCTCCCTTTAAATGAGAAGATGAAGAAAAACAGTACAGACTAGTCTGTTTCACTTTATGTAAGTTTTTAAGCGTCATGAGTGCTGGTTAGAATTGGATAAAATCATTGCTCTGAAGGACAAACTTTCAAGGGAAAGACACGCTGAGGTAGATGAGTGTGAAACTTAGTCTTTTTACACAAGCAGGTGAGTTCTAACAGTCTTGCTGCCGATGCTGCTCACATGCACACACCGTCTTCTAAATTGGCCAAAGGTGACTTTGTGTTGCCAAATATCTTCAAATGAGTGGGTCAAAGAATGAGTCTGGATTTTGTGCTTAAACCCCTGAATTCTATGAACAAAACCAAGGTAATGCAGTTGATGGAGGCCACTGGCCTCTCGGGTGTGACCGGCCCTGGGCACCTGGGCACCCACAGCAGTGTGGACCAGAAGGGGGCCTTGGCGGGATCATGACACCAGCACTCCTCACCAGGCCTGCTGCTGATCAGCAGTGTAGCCCGAGCCCTCAACCTGAGGGGCCAGCCGCCTCTGCTCCCCTCCAGCCCTCGCTGCCAGAACCCTGGGGTGGCGGGCAGGGAGGGCCCGGCCTTGCCCCCTCTTTGGTCTCCCTGATTCATGAGATGCAGGTCCCTAGGGAACAGTGCCTCACTAAAGGCATAAAGTAGGCACCAAATATCAAATCATGCTGCTCCCCACTTCACAAATGAGATCAGCTTATAGGATGAACACAGACCTCACTTGGTGGTCTGTTTACCTTATTAACATGGCAGTGATGGTTTCTGCCCCTGTGGCAGCTGACACGTGGATTAAATAACACCAGCTTCTTTCAGTTTATTTTGAAAAACTTCAGACTTTAATTTCTCCTAACTTGATAAAGAAAAACACTATTTAAGAGGACCCTGCCTTAATTATTTCTATGATGCTTAATAGTTAAGTCTTGTTAGCTCTCGACTCAGAACTTGAATTTCTGGCTCTAAAAGTGCCCACTGCATTTAAATTACACCCTCAGTGTTTGGTTACATAGTCCCTGCATGACTCACATTCTACCAGAGAACCAAACACACAGGCAGAAGTCCGACTCCACACAGCTGCCAGTGCTCCCATATTCACAGAGCTGAGTGTTTCCAAACCCTCGCTGGTGCTGGGCTGAGCCTGGCCCTGTCCAAGGAGCCTCTGGGTGCCCCAAATCAGGCGGACCTCTGGGCCAACTGGAGGCCAGAAGCTTTCACACTGATTATGAAATTTTAATTCCCCAGTTAGGAATATGAAAGCTCTTACTAGCTCTTCACTGAATCAGCTGTGATCTTGGTTAAGAAAAACATAAAAAGCAAACACAAGTGCGTGTCCTGACAAAGTGTCTGTAAAAAGGCAGCACATCCCAGAATCGTGAGCTGCACAGGCCAGCCCCTCTACGGAGGGAAGGGCCTGGGGAGGCAAGGCCCACAGACTGTGTGCTTCTCCGCACGTGTAATGATGCTCACAACCAGACCTAGGCATTCTCTGCTCTAGCTGGGAAGCCACTAGAGACAGCAGGGACCTGGTGCGATTCTGCTGGCCACTGCGGGGCAGGGGCGGGAAGGAGTGGCACCACCTGCCCCTGACCCCGCAAACGTCCATGTGCTCCCACCTCAAGGCTCCACGTCCCATGAGGGGAGTGTGCAGGCTACACAGGGCCCACATGCTGGGTATTCTCCTGCCTTTTCAGCTTTAGGAGGGGTTGGAAAACAAATCAGCTTCTCTGTGCCTTTAACCACTGGTATCTACAAAAGGCCATTCAGGGAATCTTCATCTTCTCAAAATGTGACAAGTAAATGCAAATGCACAAGCACTTTCTGTGTGTGTGTGTGTGTGTGTTTATGTGTGAGGGAATACAGTTTGTGTGTGTGTGTGGGAACAGAGTTTGTGTGTGTGTGTGTATGTGAATAGAGTGTGTGTGTGTTTGTGTGTATAGAGTTTAAAAGCCAGGGAAGCAGGTTCAATTACAGAAGCTAACTCCAGGGACCCCAGCCCCTGGCAAACCTGAAGCCGGCACCAGAGCACCTGCTCCCACTTCCTCTGCAGGTCACACCAGCCTCACGGGTGGTCTCTGGGCCAGCCAGAAACTTGGGCCTTTCCTGGACACCTCTTTCCCACCCCAGCCTCCAGCCAGGCCTTCTGCACCTGCTTGCTGGTTCTGGCTCCTTCCCAGGCCAGACCCAGGAGGCGGGCAAACACAGGGACTAACAGCTCTCAGGACGTCCTGGGTGGGCTCCCAGACTGGGGCAGGGGTACCTGAGTAAGAAGCTGGTCCGATGATAGCTGGTTGATCCACCGTGTGTATCGCTCAGTGGAGTTGGGGGGCTCTCTCCTTACTTGGCAACCTATAATCTGTGAAACAACAAAACAGAACTTAACAAAAGAAAGTCCCTGTGAGCTCACACGCGCACACACCGGTCCACATCTCACCTGGCGTAAGCTGGCACATCCAGCAGGGAACTAACAGAGACCTGCATCCGATCGGGCTGGGGGAAACTTCCAGGAGGAAAGGGGAAGAGGGAGGGTACCCACACAGTGCAGGGTTCTGGGTGGACCCCATGCTGGACGGTCCTGACCTGCCAGTCCCAGCAGCACCCGTGAAATCACCCTGGGTTAGAGCTGTCACAGATAATGCTTCCCCCTTAATGCATTCAAATTACAATGATCTGTTCACAAGGTCAAACACCCAGCTACCTCAGTAGCACTCTTCCTGAACCGTAGCTCAAGGAGACACGAGGGGCAGAGGGAGAGGGAGAATCTCAAGCAGGCTCCCTGCTGAGTGTAGAGCCCAACGTGGGGCTCGATCTCATGACTCTGAGATCATGACCTGAGCCAAAACCAAGAGTTGGAGGCTTACCAAGCACCACCCAGGTGCCCCGATAATTTCTTAATAAGGGGACTGATTCGGTGACATAGATCTTACTGACCACTGACCACTCTGAGGTAGACAGAGCGCAGTGCAGGGTCGGCTGTTGGCCACTCCTGGGCCCTTACAGGAACTCTGTGAGCCTCACCTGGGGTGGAGGTGGGAGCAGGCCCTGTGCTGCTGGGTATGCCCCCATGGGAGCAGCTCCTTCTGCAGCGACAGGCCCAGATACATGCCGTGGGGACCAGCCTCTTTCCACACCTCACTCAGACTCTGTAGGATGGGACCCTTCACCTCTGAGCAGTCTCAGACATCCCAAACATGCTGCACACAGACACTTAAACCAAAGTGCAGGTGCTGTCCCTAGACTTTGAGCTGTGTTGGAGGTGCGGCCAGGGCTGCTGGGGGCCAGGGCTGCTGAAGCAGGGTGTGTGGTCTCGCTCCTTCTGCCCCTCCCACTCATGCCCTCTCTCCCTCTAAAATAAATAAGTAAATAAACACATAAATTATCAAAAGTTCCACCATGATCCTTGAATTTCTTAAATCTTGCTCTCTATAGCACTTATGCATAGTGATTAATCTGTATTAATGCAGGAATATTAATGAAGAGCTAAGAAAGATTCTGCTTGCTTGCATTTTTTTGTTGTTGGGTTCTTTTAATTAAACTTTTTTTTTTGAGAAAACGGTAGAAATAACACACAGCAGTAGAAATAACACACAGAGGTCCTGTTTATCTTTTACACGGTTCCTCCAATGATAACATCTTGAAAAACCAATGCAAGTCACCCCCAGCTAAGGAACCCTCATGGCACCTTTGTGGCCACACCCAGCCCTCCTTGACCGGCAACCGCCCATCTGTCTTTTCGAGAACGCTGTGTCAACAGACAGGCTGTTGCCCTCTGCGATTGGCCGCTTCTCCATTCTCCAATTGCCCGAGACTTGTCCAGGCTGTTGTGCGTAACAACACGTTTTCCTTGTTGGGCTGAAAAATACTGCCCTGCACAGACCGTAGAGCACACCTCCTAGCGCTCTACAGTGAACATTCATGCACAGGTTTTTGTGTGAATGTGTCCCCATCTCTCCGGGACAATTGTCCAGGAGTGCGGCCCCTGGGTCGTACGGTGGTTTCACGTTTACTTTTCTAGGAGCTGCCCACCTGTTTTCTAGAGTGGCTATACCCACTCACACTACCACCGGCCGAGTGAGTGACCTGGTTTTTCTGCACCCTCACCAGCATCTGACATGGCCATGTTTTCAGGCCTGTGCCGACACCACATCACGGGTCTAACTTGGGTTCCCGGATGGCTCGCGGTGCTGACCCTCTTTCCATGGGCTTATCTGCCCCCTCCCCGCTCCCTGGTGAAATGTCCCGTTTTCTGACTGGGATAAAGGCACACTTGACCACGTGACACACTGCTGGGTCCCCCCAGGGAGCCTGTGGATGAGCAGCCGCTGGGTTAGCGCCCGGCCAGGGGTAAGGCCTCCCCGCACCTGCCCGCCTGGGGCACACTGCTGCCCCTTACTTTCTGGTCTTGTCAAACTGGCATTCGCCGGACAGAAAAGATTCTGAGAGAAAACGGGAAAATGACCAAGAGCTGGGAGGCGCACTCACAGGCGGACCAAGGGGCTGAACTGCACCCTTGCCATGCCCCCCCCCGCCTGCCACGCCCTGAGCTGCCACTGGGGGCAACAGACGCCTGCTGCCCTGCCTGTCCCATGGCGGGGGGGGGGCTCCTGCGGCTCCCACAGTGAGTGCTGGGACCCCCGCCCAGGGCACACCCCACCTCCACCTGGGCAACCCGCCTGCCTCCACTCAGGACCCCCACCCAGGGCACCCCTGCCCCCCCAGGCCCAGATCTGAGCTGTTCATGCTGCTCTCGTGGTGAGTACCCAGGGAGGCCGCCCCCCCAGCCCCCATCCCTCCTGCCCAGGTGTGCTGGCTTCTGATGAAAGCTAGAGTCACGTGGCGTGGGGGGTCTCACAAGGAGAAACAGGGCAGATAGGAGATGGCGTGACAGGGGAACTTCTGGGGCAGTCACTGCTTTGTGCCTTCGACTGCTGATTGTGGGGGGCACTGGTCTCAGATGAAGAGGGTATCTGTGTGTGCCTCAACACTTTTTGAAAAGAAAAGTGGCCTGGCCCACGGGGCAGAAACCGCGAGGCACCTTTTCCTCCTGAAGAGGTGCCTCCATGGAGCACACAGGCGCCCGGTGCAGACCACACACCCCGTCCTCTCTGGTGACGGCACAGGACGCACACTCAATGTTTCACCCTACATTCGCTCTGGGGCAGAGGCTGCTGACACGGGCTTGGCACCCTGGATGCAGTCGGTGCTTAGTAAGCACAGGCTGAACGAAGCGAAGGGTGTGTGCTGCTAGCAGGACACACGGACTCCTTCCAAATACCGGGGAGAAGCCCCTAGAGCAAGGCTCTCGACAGGTGTTAGCTGGTTCTTCTGAGACCACGTGCCGCCAACAGTTAGCAGAAAGCTCGAGATCCCGGAGGGTGGTCCCTACAGTCTGGAAACTCTGAATCTATATGGGAGCCTCTGAGACCTGGCAGTTTGGCTGGAAAAAAAGGTCAGAAAGTAGAAAAGAGGGCGCCTGGGTGGCTCAGTTGGTTGAGCGACTGCCTTCGGCTCAGGTCATGATCCTGGAGTCCCGGGATCGAGTCCCGCATCGGGCTCCCTGCTCGGCGGGGAGTCTGCTTTTCCCTCTGACCCTCTTCCCTCTCATGCTCTCTCTATCTCATTCTCTCTCAAATAAATAAATAAAATCTTTAAAAAAAAAATAAAAAAAAAAACAAAGTAGAAAAGAAGGTTACTGGGGGCAGAGGGAGGTCTGGGAGGTGGGACGACCCTCACAGTAGTCACCTGCCCGCTTTGCCTACAGCTGGTCTGACCTGCATCCCACTGAGTGCTGGGCTCTGCATCCCCTCCCCCTGAATCCGGGGGTCCCGAGACAAGGTCATAAAGGGGACATGGCCGCCAGCCCATTCTCTTGGGACCTTGTTTTTGGAAGTGGCTGCCAGGTGGTAAGGAAGTCACGAAGCCCCCAGGCGCCCCAGCCCCCCGCCCAGCGGAGGCCTAGCAAGAACGGAGCCCTTTCTACGGTCCTGACCCGTGGGATCTGTGCATGTGATAAACGGCTGGCTTTCACACCCCTGGGTCTGGATGCTTTGTCCCCAGCCGTAGTGACTGGCGGCCACAGGAACTGCATCACAGCTGTGTGGCCCTGTGGTGACAGACCCTGATGTCCTGCTTCAGCCCCAGACCACCAGTGTCCAGGAGCGTATGCAGCACTACTGGGCCCAGGACCGCTGTCTCGGACCCGCCGAAGGCCCCCATGTGGACAACAAGCTATGCAGCCACCCCATTAGAGGGGGTCATGTTCGTTAGGGGATCTCATGTTCCTGGTCTCACGTGTTCAGGAACACACTGAAGTGGACCTGGGGTGGGGGGGATTCGTGCCATCCACCCCCGTCCCAGAAAGGGCCCCAGGTGAGGACCTTTCCCGGGTCACACAGCTGGCTCTGTGAGGCCCCCTGCCCCCTGATGAGGCCCCCAGAGACGCCATGGAGTCACCAGGCTGCCCTGCCTGTGCTCCGCCTCCTGGCTCGGCCCATCCTTGCTTCTCCGGCACTGCCTGCCCAGACCTCGGCAAGACAGCTCAGGGCGTACACGTGAGAGGCGGAAAGCTTCATTCCTCTTCTCTGTGGAAGCACGTGGCCTCTGTTAGGCACATGGCACGGTGGACAGACACACGTCAGGGGAGACAGAAGGCAGGCCCGGCCTGGGGGTGGCCGCCTGTAGTCAAAATATTTAATGGCGACATCAATTTTCCTCTTATTCACCACATATAAGACATAATGTTTTCTACTTCCGATTAATAAAAAAGTAATTTGCTAGCTGATCAATTTTTACCACCATATTCCTTTCTCACTGATTAAACGTCCCGGAAAAACCTGATCACAGTATGAAGTTCACAGAACATAGTCGGTCAGGAGCGAGAGTCACCGTTGTATTCCCAAGGCCACCAGGAGAACTGAGGAAGAAACAGGGCCATGTACAAACTGTAAAGCACCGTGCAACCACCAATCATCAAGGCAAACTCTACTCGGAGGGTGACACGTGGGAGAAACAAGAGCTTCCATCCTGCAGGCCAGCTGCACCTGGGGTGTGTGTGTGCCTGTGACCTGCATGCACTGGTGCAGGAACGCAGGACTGTATGCATGTGTGTGCCAGCCTATAGGGAGGAGCCTGGAAATGAAAGCAGTGGAGGTGAGAGCCCACACTTAGTGGCCATGCCTTCAGTAGCCCACAGGGCCTCCCCACAGCTCATCCACTTCAGCCCTCCCGGTGCCACCCTGGGGAGAAATCTGGTCCAAAGGCTGGTGTCTCCCAACCTTCAGAGGTAAAGCCAGGGATGCCTGGGCTTACTCTCGGCTCTTCCCACGTGATCTCCCCCTGCAGGGCCTGAAGCACTAA